AAAATATAAAATTGTGGATGCTCTCATAAGGCTGTATTAGCAACATATGGTAGCTTCTCTTGATAATAGGCTATAATTTGAAATGAAAATTGAAGTAATGTATGAATAAGTATAACATTTCATTACCATATGGCTAAAACAGGGCAAATAACCATAAAAACCAAAAAGCTCGGGCGTTACTTACTGTATAAGGCGGTGAATAAGCTGCAGCCAACCTATTCTCCTGAATTTCTGAGGGATGCATACTATAGAGAGGGGTCATTATAGGATCATGTTCATGAATCACTTACAAGACGGAATGTTTACTGAAAGTGAGCAAGCCCTTATCTATGATGGCAATAAAACCCAATTAGGCATCTGAAACCAATAAAATGCTCGGAATATCCTACAGATCTTCGTAATTCTATAAAAGTTTATATAAGCTATCATTGAGCAAGAACAGACTCTTCCCTATCTCTCAATTTTCGCGATTCTGCTTACCAGACCAGGGCTTTTCACAGAACCGACACTGGATTCTATGAATGGCGGGACTGAGTTTATTTTGACTGCAATTCGAAATCCTCTTCTCTTCATTATTTATTACTGTATCTTGCTCGTGTACCTCTAGATGAGTGTGCCACTGCTGTTGTTGGTAGGGCTTATTATTTTTCTTCAGTCGGTCATCGTCTCCACATGCTAAATGTTTCAACCCCAAAACTCCAGTACCGACTGCGATTTCCTGAGCTCGCTCGAAGGCAATATTGGCAGTCGGTAAAGAACCAGAACGGCACGGATGAGTAGAGCCCATGCAATTCATACAGATGGCATGTAGATAGCGTTCCTGCCTCGTTTGGCCACCATTTGCTCGGCCCTGCTTCACATGGCGATCGCCTCCGCCACCATTGCCACATCCTGAGCTGGTCTGGGCTTGACGGGGTCCACAACAGCCTGGAGGAGGTACCAGGACGTTAGAAGCCCCATTACCACTGCAGCCATTACCACTGGCACCCCAAGTGACTAGGACACCTCGTCCACGAGTATGGCTTTCAGAAGCACGATGGCAGACAGGCGATATGAAGAGGACACCATCTATAAGAGGGAAATGGTCGTAAACAGGAAGCATGATGCCGCATGCCAGACAGTAGACTTCCGAGACTAGTTGCGAAGTCAGCTGACCTAGGAGGAAGGCTCGGGTGTCCTCATTACCAGTGCAGCTGTCGTCCTCTAACTGTATAAAATATGCGTTGCGCTTTTCGCGCGTCAGAGTCTGAAAATAGACATTGATATATATAAGAAATAAGTAAACATATCCAAGCATAAGAAAAGTAAGAAAGGGATATGAGCCAATAAATCTAATCCTTCCTAAGTCTGATGAAACGAAGTGAAGTTCTTTTAGTGGAGAGCAAAGGAAAGGAAATACCCGTTGGATTATAGTATTCTCAGGAAGAATTCAAAGCATGAGGTTTATCATTGATGAAATTCGAGTATAGAGTGCCAACCCGATCCGATTTGCATTTTGTAAATAATATAGCCTGATATACAAAGACTATGTGAGGTTCTAGCCTAGTAAGCATATATATATATGTTTACAGCCTACGAAATGAAAGATTCGTAGGATATTTTAATAAATGAACACTTGTATGGGTCGTATAAATAGTAAAATGAAAGTCAATCAAAAGGTCAAAGAAACTAAGCGTATGCATAGATATAAGCGTATGGTTGTAGCCCATAAAAAGCACACAAAACCTTATGAAGCAAGAAATTGAAATAGAATAGCTTAGAAATACCATTTTGCTAGTACTAAAAGCAGCTCAGAAGAAACGACTTTAACGATCCCAGCACCAAGATGCGATGAGATATTGGTAAAATGATAGCTATTGCAATTAAGATATAAGTAATTCTGTAGGACTATATATCTGAATAAGTCACCTCATGCATAGGAAGTAAGAAATACAACTAATAATAGGCATATTGATAGGAAGACCTAGATTAACGCACCTAGTCCAGAGTCCATAGTATGTATGATAATTTTCAGAGTCGGACAGTGGACGTGTTACATTCCCAGACGTTTCGCCGGCATCGTAGTCAGTAAACCTTGCCAATATTAGCACCGCACTAAAACTTGTCAAAGAGACAAGTGAAGCCGATCCTTTGACCAATTATCTGCTAAAAAATTGCGATATCTACCCTTCTGCTCTGGGCTATTCACCAAACCTATATCCTCGTATCACTCCTTCACTATCACAATTTTTTAATTACCTATTTAAATGTGGTATGGTGTGTCCTTTTCAGTGGATTTCATGAGAAGTCTCCACACCCCACACTGACTCTCTCACCCCCTCACCCCCTTTAGCCTTGTGCTGGAAATATTGATCAGAGTCTGCCATATTGTTCCGCAGTCCTACTCACAGAGTATCCCTCTTGCTCCGTAGGATCCGTCTATTATCTACCTGGTTCAAGTACTTCACTCGGCCCCTGCAACCCTATCTGTGCTACTCGAGGCATTATTTCCCACACTCTTCCTCTGAGAGACTACCTTGAGGCTAAAAACCCTGAGTAATTATCATGGTCAAGCCTTTGTTACATGGACCACCTCTATGATCAAACATGTCTACTGTTAGCCAACTAGCACTAATCTCTGCTGCTTTGATCGTGCCAAGTATATGGCATCCTAGGCCCTAGTCTCTTGTGTGCCAACTTACAAATGTCGTAGCTCTATTTGTTTCAATTAGGTCCATCAGCAATGCCTACAACGATGCCGGCAAAACGTCTGGGAATGTACCACGTCCATGGTCCGACTCTGGAAATTATCATGCATACTGTGGACTCCGGGCTAGGTGCGTTCCTCTAAGTCTTCCTACCAATATGACAAAGCTGCTAAAACAAGGTCAAACAACTTCTAAATAAGGAAAGGAGACTGTGATCATATCAAAAGGCTACACTATCTTGGTCTTCATGCCTTTGATAATAGACAGTTAAACTCTGATTGCACAATTATGCTCCTACTCCAAAATGATCTCCAAGCAAATTTATAATTCGGGAGCAATTAATCATCTATAACAAAATGTTTAAATAATAATAGATCGACGCCTTGGTAAATGAATAAATTATAATCTTCCAGCTCTTACAAATAATTGAACTGTCCGAGTAAGTTGAGAATGGTAGACAGTCTCTTTTACTATAAGACACTATTAAAGCAACGATAAAACCAAATCAGTCGTGGGTAGTAGCTTGAAAACTAGTTAGCTGATATATGATGTTTGAAGAAATGAATGACTAAAAAAAACGGCTGGAAGAATGATTAAATTGTTGAGAAGAATTTCATTTAATATAAAAGTCCATGATGAAATGATTCGTAGGTCGTTCTCACGAAAAGAAAATGGCATATTCAGGCTGACGCAGTCCACGAGACAGCCTCTCTCGTTTCTAGCTTCTTGATCTAGTGTTAACTTCAGACTTTTACAAGCATGAGTTCCAGCTCTAATGATATCCATCATATGATGTAGGAAAGCTTAGCCCATTTTCGCCCGAAACAAGGGAGAATGTTTCGTGGATTGCGTAAACCTGAACGTCGTATTAAAGCCAGACGGCTGCAACAAAACGGGAGTCAATCATTGCCTTCTGTTAAGATTGACCTACGATTCTCTTCATTATGCACTTTGATACGAAATGAAAGTTGTCCCAACAACTAAATGATAGATAATAGAGTCAGAGAAACGAATAGCATCGAAACAACAAATGATCTAATACATTATTTTATGAATCAGTTGTCTTTAAGATATTTTACAAAGAGAAATCGGCTGATTTAACTAAAACCCTTTTAATGTGAAGTATGAATATGAAGAGCATCAATAACATATTTAGAAAAAATTTCAATAATCACATATATTAATGAAATAAAAAAATCCATGAAGTTTGTCCTTACGAAATAAATCTAGAAAAGCTAAGTGAAAAAGAGGCAACCACAACTCAA